TTTTTTTTTTTCCTTCTTCCATTCTCCTCTCCGAGACGTGAAATTAAAAAACCGGACGAGGATTAGGGCGCGCGAAGAAGTTCGAAATTTTCGAGAATTCGGGCTCGTGCCGTCTGGCCGTAACTGTAGGAACACACTCGAGGGGAATATTGGAATCTGAACCAGCCTGCGCAAGGCATCGCCGCCTTATGCATGCATATTCCATTTGCTTCATACCTCTTATTAACGTAAATTCCATATGCAATGCTGGCAACTAGGTTTGGCTCGCATTTCTTAATAACGTATCAACAGATTTCTTCTGGCGTCCTATGTTTAAGATAAATTTTACTGTTGCTGTTGTGAGCCTACTCTTAAATTTAGAATTTGAAATTGACTTTATATTCTAATACGTATTATTTTATATATTACGTGATATTATATTACAATAAATATAATATTACATTAAAATAAATATATTACATAAATAATATTACATTACAATAAATATAATATTACATAAATAATATTATGTTACAATATTATATTACAATAAATATAACATTACATAAATAATATTAAATTACAATAAATATAATATTATATAAATAATATTATGTTACAATATTATATTACAATAAATATAACATTACATAAATAATATTACATTACAATAAATATAACATTACATAAATAATATTACATTACAATAAATATAATATTACATAAATAATATTACATTACAAAAAATATAATATTACATAAATAATATTACATTACAAAAAATATAATATTACATAAATAATATTACATTACAATAAATATAATATTACATAAATAATATTACATTAAAATAAATATAATATTACATAAATAATATTACATTACAATAAATATAATATTATGTTAGAATATTATATTACAATAAATATATTATATAAATAATATTATGTTACAATAAATATAATATTACATAAATAATATTACATTACAATAAATATAATATTATATAAATAATATTATGTTACAATATTATATTACAATAAATAATATTATATTACAATGTTACATGACTTTATATTACAATAAATGATACATTATAAAACAGGCAGCTTTCTCATCGTTTATATATATATATTTATATATGCGAATATATATGCGAATATCGAACTCTAAACGATGAGAAAGCTGCCTGTTTTATAATGTAATATTTATTGTAATATAAAGTCATGTAACATTGTAATATAATATTATTTATTGTAATATAATATATATAAAACACACGTTTATCGTCTGAAGAATTTGAAACTTTACTCCCCATGGTTGCTATTTGATCATGTTGAATATATACATTTGTTCATCTCAAATATTTATTGAAATTGTCTTTAAATAAATAGAGCAATGTAAACCGCGCTATTAAAAATTATATATCGTGAAAAATGTATAATTTAGTAATAATTAGACTACGGAATTTTATGTGTCTACAAAAAATTTGAAAGTGAGAAGATGCGCATAATGCATAAAATGTGCACAGAGATATAAAATATCCGAATTTGAATATTTGTTACATTCATAAAACTCCACAATTTAATAATAATAATAAAGATTATTGTACATTATTCGCCATTTCAATTCGTACTCATTTAGTAAAGATAATCGAGTTATGTTCGTGAGATAAATATTGCAAACGATTATTATTCTTTTTCATATATTCGACGTTTGTTTTTAAAATTTTCATCTTTGCAAGCATTTAACATTCGACAAATAATTTTCCGAGCATCATCGATTAAACTTGAATTTTGTTTACAAACACTTTTGTCCACAACCATTATATAAATTATAAACTATACATTTCTTTGAAAAACGATGTAATACGCATGAAAAATTTTTAAGATTCTTAAACAAGATTCTTGATCTAGCTAATAATTTTTTATCCTAAACATAAAAATGGAAATCTTTTTTTCGTTCTGCAAACGTTCCTTTCTTTCAATTTCGCGATAGTTATTCAAAAGAATCTTAAAAAATACGAACCAATCAGGAACTAATCAATATAAATTTTTCCTCGATAAGAAGATATTAAAGAAATATCTCAAATCCAAAAAATTGTCCCAAAATTTTTAAGAAGAGAAAATTCTTATTTTTCAATAATCAAACAATTCGAAGTTTGATAACTTTCCTTTATTAATGACAAAACATTAAAAATGTCGTCGACTTTTCGTCCAAATTGCCAAATCTTTTTCGTCGACAGCGAACAACAATGCGAGAAGTTTGGCTGCGGGGCCCGTATTTAGAGGATCATTGTCCGATTATAGTTTCGAATTCGTATATATATACATACACTCATTTCACGTCGATGAGAAGCACGAGTGGCCATTAGCTTTTGTGTCATGGTTCGTGGAGATAATGCTCGGATACGTCAATGAGTTAGAAAGTGGTTGGTAACGAGTGCTTGTTAAAAATCGCGGGAAGCGACGTGGAGGAAGTACCACGATGAAACGTGAAGCGTGTCGCGCGTTTGATAGAAATTTTTATATGTCTACCGTAACTGCATTTCCGATCGCTTTTGTACTGCATACATACGAATCATCGTGTACATTGGCCGGACGCTACTTGTATGCAAAATCACCGGTTTTGTATTTTCTTTCTCTGAAACCCACGATGCTTTCTAAATGGCTTCCGATTACCTAGTGTTTGTACAGAAAATTCCATCGGGCCGTCTGCGCTTTATTTTTTTATCGTGTCACGTCCACTTCGATGAAACTGTGTTTCTTATCCTTTTCACAGTATAATGACAAAGAACTTATCTGGAAAATAATTCGACTCTCCTTAATTCGGAACTGGTGAAAATTGAAGTTTTATGATATATTCTTTGTTTCTTGCCGTCTTCATTTTCCTTCATTAAATAAAAATATTTCTGTCACAACCTGTTTACATAATACCTGTCTATGAGTAAGGAAATATAATAAATTTGTACATAATATAGGTAACTTTACTTGAAAGGTAAAAAGAAGAACGCAAGAAACTTCAAGTGTTTTAACTTTTAACAATCTTAGAAAATGGAAGTGTATTAGATAGGACGTTTTGTTTAAAATAGAAATTAGATAAGAAATTAGATAAGAAATTACACTTGCAAGTTATACGAGTCACAAGTTACGATTTATTAATACTAATAAAGTCTCTTACACAATAGTATCAAGTTTGATAATAATTGATAACAAGCGAAGATCTTCAAATAAATTTTGCAAATTACGAACCGATCACCCTATTATGCGTGAAATTAAAAAAATAATGAAATAGATGTTTGTAGTCTACATGTAATTTATAATTTATATCATAAATTTTGTATAGGAAAATGCTACAATTACTTATTTTTTTCGCGAGAATCGTTTCTATTTTATTAATTTTCTTTTCTAACGCATTATCCATTGTTTTATTTGCTTTTATAAATTCAACTTTCACTTTGCCAAAGCACAAAAAACTAATTTTGAAATTTTCATTTTCATGAATATAACTGAATAAAAAAAAAGAAAAACATAATTAAAATAAATCTAAATAGAAAATTGTCTCTTTTACGTAAAAAAATTATAATTTCATAACTTCATAATTGAATAAAAAAAAAAGTCATAATTTCATAAATTCATAATTGAATTAAAAAAAAAAAAACATAATTAAAATAAATCTAAATAGAAAATTGTCTCTTACGTAAAAAAATTATAATTTCGTAACTTCATAATTGAATTAAAAAAAAAAAATTATAATTTCATAAATTCATAATTGAATAAAAAAAAAAACATAATTAAAATAAATCTAAATAGAAAACTGTCTCTTTTACGTGAAAAAATTATAATTTCATAACTTTTCTAAATATTTTATATATTTTTGCATATTACGCGCTACGTGTGTATTTTTGCATCGTTAAATTTTTCATAAATACGTAAAAATCCGCGATCTAACCATCACTATTGCTTAACTAATTAATTTGACACAACATCAGTTTTATACATACATCAGTAGCAATGAATTTTTATTAAAGAATTAAACATTTCTTCCATTTTGTAAATTTTTATAATAATTCAGTTGCAAACTGAAAATAAAGTATCACTATAATTTTACAAAGTGAATTTATAAATTTTACGAAATAGTCGAAAGACGATCTAACAAGATACAAAGATCTACGAACATGTAATAATTCAGGGCATAATACTGGATGGCCGACAACTCTAGGATTCAACCACGAAGAAAATGTCGTACGTTGACATATAAACGCGATTGCATAAGAATTCTCTTTAGTCACACGAATTTGTAGTATCATGAAGCTTATACGGTATATTAGGCCGCATCACATTGAAAACCGATGTAAGTTTAATGCTGATATCTTCGCGCGAAGTTGGACGAGACAAGAAAAGTCTGGATAAAATTCAAACCTAGTACGTATGGAAGGATCTTCGCGCAATACTACGATTTAATAAACTCGCGAAACGAATCTTTGAAATATATTTAAATTACCTCACAAAGATAATACAATAATTACCTCACAAAGATAATACAAGAATGATAATCGAGAAAAACTTTTAAAAAGTTTCTTTTCATTCTAATAGAAATAAATTCAAATAGAAACATTAATGTTTGTATTTCGTATTTTCACAAAAATAGGCTTTTCTGCTCTTATTGGAAAAAAAAATGTGAAAAAGAGAGAGCACTTATCTATTTTTAGTATAAAAAAAAAGTTCAATGTTTGTGCTAACAACTACCAATTTCCAGGGAATAAAATAAACGTTAAATAAAATTTTGAAACAAGGAAAAGCAAAATCGTAATACGATGTACTTTAATTCTTGTTCTTTAGTATATCAGTCATTTGCTACATAAATGCTATTTTGACATTTTAAAAATTGGAAAAAATTCTACAAATAGACGGAATTCTTTTTCGTAAAAATAATGTCCGGAAACTACATTATCGAGCGAGATACTTCCGACTTCGAGAGCAATTTCAATAGATGGTGTTCTCGTAGTACGAACGGCCGCGACACGATAAATCTAACGGCGTGAACAATCAATGGCTAAAAGGGAAATAACTTTTTGACAACACGCGAAAAACTGATCTCCGAGTGATTCCATTATCGCGTTCTCTAACACTGCTACTATTGAAACAATAACAAACGCAACAGCGTTATCCAGAAAGGATCAAAGTTCCATTATGTATCGAGAAAATTGTCTTCAACGTTATTATTATGAATTTTCTTAATTGTGAAATGAATAGAAATGTATCCTTTTAACGCGGCGTTAATTAAAACGCTACACGAGTAACGCTAATACCAGATGGCCTTGATAACGTCAGGTGACCTTAAATCTAACGCAACGATTATTGATTCAATTATTCTTGCTATCAGATGTATAAATCATAAATTATAAACCGATTGTACGAAATTTTCATCGCGGCGTCAGATTAACGAAGATCGTTGAAGAAAGTGTGTATATACCTGATGTTATTCTTACGATAAAGGAAAGCTTTGAAAGAATAGAACAGGATGGGATCGGAGCAGAGTTCTCAAGGTGGAACCCATAGTGCTAATACTAACAGGACAAGAAATATACCATTGAGACGTGGTAAAAGTGTACCAAATCGTGAGCGAGTACCAGAAGATACGCCACCAAGATGTACCAGTCCTGGTGCAAGCATCTGTTCAGATTCTGACCTACCATATATATCTTACACTGTGAATAGACCTATCGGCGATTCGCCAAAGATGACAAATAAACAATCACAGTTATACAGAGGCAAAAGTTTAGGTGCACAAGATATATCTAGACGTAAAAATAGCTTAGGTTCTAGTAGCTACAGGTAACGCGCATGATTATTTAACAATAACATTTGTTTTTTAATAATATCTTTCTTTTATTTGGGTAATAAATCTGTAATTTTTTTAATTGCAGGAAAACTACCTCCGACAAAATTCACAACATTGTTGTAGTGAAACCAGCCTTGCAAGATCCCACAGCTGACAAAGATCCTGACCTGGTTAAATTACAAAGTATTCCCATGTTCCTACCTATTATGCGTGGTACCCTCAATTTGCCCCCTGGCGTAAGAGATCCAGAGGTCCTGGAAAGACTCAATCCCATTGGTCTATTCAACCTGTGTGCTCGGTATCAGCACCACCTTAACACTAATGCTCAAATGATAGCCACCGAACAATCCACTCTATGCATCAATATTGAACCAGAAGTAACCAAAATTCTTAATTTGGCAACGGAAAGACAAAAAAAGTTTGCCAAATTTACTGAACAACTGAACAAAATACATGAGCTTAGTAAACAACTAACTAAATGCCATTCCCTTTTGAATCAAACTCTGGAAAGCCTTGAAACTTTGAACAACCTTTTACCAGTAGAGGATAGGTTAGAACCATTTGTATGGACTACTGGATAAAATTGATGTTAAAGAGTATATTGAATGATAATTTGAGAAATATTACAAATACACTGCACTGGTGCTAATCTCAATTAACTCGATCCAACAACCTATTAAGAGATTTGTTCTGTTTCTTTTTTTTTGTTAATCACAATGAATTTTTACTATTAATCCTTACGAAAAGATTTCTAGTACCTAAACGTGTTGCACAGAAATTTTTGTTTATGAAATTATATATTATATGCATATACACATATATTTTCGTGTTAATACTAATAATTGTATAATTGTATAAAAAGAATACAATGTTTAAGTTTAAAAATACATACATGATAAAATGATTGTACATTTTATGAAAATGAAAATAAACAATTCCGCGATAAAATATTTCATAGCATCTTTGCAATATAAAAAATATATAATATACATAAAAATGTACATTTCATAATTTTTTACATACCCTAGTTGTCAACACCAGATCGTTGTACTTTTAACATTCTGTATGTTGCAATGACATCACTTTGCTGTTTTTCTAGCTGTCTCCTTTCTCCAAGTGATAGATTCTTGCGTTTCCCTGATCTATCCGTGGATACAATCTTATCATTCATTTTTACTTCATCACTTTTCTTAACACTTTAGACCGGTAGCCTATTTATCGGCTTTTCGATTCCTAACGCTCATCGACCGGTAGCCTATTTATCGGCTTTTCGATTCCTAACGCTCATCGACCGGTAGCCTATTTATCGGCTTTTCGATTGCTTTTGTTACGAGAGATACCACACTCTAAATAAATATTAAAAAATTTAATTACAGTTACCTTGTATTTATTTCATGAATGTAAGTTAAAAAGGCAATAAATTGTATAAAACAAATACAAAATAAAGTATAAATATCAGTAAAATTCCATTACTTTAGAACAAAAGGAATAAGCACAACACAATGCATAGTGAAAATTTAGCCGGTACTGGGAGTAAATTCGGGCGCGACTAAGCCGGTACTTACTGAGTGGCAGCCTCAACCACGACCAGTCGATAAAGTGTTAAGTATTGAATGAAGAAGAAGTTCCTTCTTACCAGACTATAACGAAAAATAAATTAATTTTATTTAGTAGTTAAATATATTGCAAGATTAAAAGATGCAATATAAGGTACAAAATATACCTTATTGCTACTTACAGCATTTGCATATTTTGATCTGGCTTTTAATTGCGGTGGTTCATGAGCAACTTCTCCAAACCTAACTTGATCTTTGAAATTATTAAATTCATCTACTCTCTCTTGCATTTGCTTTTGTTTCTTCAATATCAACTTCCCCTTTCTCTTTTCCGACTTAGTCATTTTAGGCTCATCCGTTTCCTTCTTCTTCTTCTTTTTCTTTCTAATATTTCTGTGTTTCATTCTTAACATTTCGATTTTATCCAAATCAGTTTCTTCACATTTCAAAAGACCATCTATCTTTCCTGTTTCTGGATTTCGATTGACTTGAACATCGTACTTCCTTTCGAAGGAAGTTTCATTTATGAAAGCGTGTGTAGCCCTGTTAACTCTGTGCAAAAATCTTTCCCCACTTTCGCCAAGCTTCTGTTGAAATACAGGAACAACTTTCTCAGGTTTGGCCTTGGGATGTAGAGGCCTAGAGTCTTGTTTGCCAACACATATGAGAGTATATTTCTTGTTTTTCTTCTTCTTAATTTTTGTTATCTTGCCTGATTTTACTGCCTCTTTCAATTTTACTATAATTTCTAAACTTTTCGGTACTGCTTGTTCTTCTGCGTTTTTTGGCGCTGCATTTATCTTTGTTTCTAACCTATAATAAGCAGTTTACTAACCTATGTAAAATAATTCGAAAATAAAAGATATTCAACGCACAACTCACTTTGCATGTCGCTTTGCCTCTTGCTTAAAAGGATCTTTTACACCTCTGTGCTTTTTTCCTGGGATTTTCCTACCCATTATCTCCGATGAACAACCGAATACGATTTCCACGTGGTAAAAACGCAACGTCTGCGTCCGAAAATATGAATGCGCGCGTTTACACTAAATTCAAAAAATATCGGTCATGAGAATGTTTAACTTTTAATCGCAAAATTCGTATTATTTCTTCAAAAATAAAACTTTAGAATAAAAATATTTAAAAAATTATAATTATAAAATAACATTATTATAATTATTCTTAATTTATTGAGAATTTATTACAGTACATAATTTTAAAATTATTTGATTAAGTTATTAAATTGAAGAAAAATTAGCAGGATTATAAGAGAGGCTTATAAATCGTTAAATACAATAAAGATAGAAATGGTATTGTTCACTAAGTAATAGCATTGTGTACTATGAATCATTGTATACATTTTTCTTCGAATAGAAATATTTTTCATATGTTTTTGGACTTTCGAACGAGCCCATTTGCCATTGTCACGTCAATATGTATTTATTGTTGCAATTTGGATAAATTTCGAACAGCAGCACTATCAGCGATAATAATTAAAATAAAAAATTGTTAACACTGAAATTTATTTAAAATTCAATTGACGAAACTACATTAATAAAATAATATAATATCTTAATGAAAATTTAAACGAAAAATTTACTATACCATTGACGGACAATGACTATATTTGATTTTCCACATTTATTTAAAAGTGATAATTATGTGTTTGAATAACAACAATAATGAAACTTAATTATTAGAAAACGCGTTTGGCTTCGAAAGAAATTTATTGAAAGATTAGAAAAAATAGCTCGATGACGCTTCCTCAAGCGGAGTTGACAATATTCACAATTGAAACAAAACTTTCATTCAGATGTGATAACTCGGCCTGTCTCCTGGAATTATCTTCTTGTAACTGGGACAGAACAATTCTGTCCTCTTGATGTGACCTTCTTGTAAAAGAAAGGACGTGCTTTGCATTGTCTTCAAGCTCTTCTTCAGCTCTGAAGATCCGACTTTCTAATTGAACCACCAAGTTTCTGAGGCAGAAGACTCTATAATTTCCAAAAACTTACAGTCATAACGTTAAAAAGTTCTGAAATTAAGGAAATATAGAGGTAATATAGAGGTAGAAATATTTGGTAAAGGTACCGTGGAAAGTCTGCCTGTTTGAGCATGTGGCTTCTGTTGTTATGTACACATCATGTTCAACGTTTCATGTCATTAGAAAGAGGACACGCCCGAGTTGCTTGCTCGTCTCACTTGTTCGAAAAAATCTCGGACTAGATTGGTTTGGACCAACACCATTTGCTCGCGCATCCAACGAGTCCATTATGCGAGTTCTTGACTGTTTATAATGATGGTGCCTTTATTGAATTTCTGATTAGATCTTTATAGATGAAACAAATTGTCCGAAATGTGGACCA